TCCCTTTACAAATCTTGTGGACCGGCTGGAAATGAAAAGCAAACTTTCATGTTTACGGCACATCATTTATCTGGTAGACAATTCGCAAAATTAATTCATATACACCCAGACAATAAACGAAACTCCTACTTAGCATTATGGGATAGGGAAACCCCCTTCAATGTTTCTACCGGTGTTAGAGCCACTAGGTCCACTAGCGAAGGTTCGCAAGCGACGTTAACCTTTCATCACCAAAGCTTTTCCTATATCTCCACCTCAGCAGCTCAAGGTCGACACATTTTTCAGGATTATTGTCCAAAGAGGCTTCTTCCGAGTAATTTGAAGGTAAATGACTGGTCAATATAATAGCACTTGTTTGACGAAGGGACTACCGTGAAACAATGTACTCGTACTCGGAACTATCTTCGCCACTGTAAGCGTAACGAAATTTATTACTGATATCGAATAGTAGTGTTCTTTGATAGTAATAATGAGTTGGAGTGACATGCGCTGTCATGTTAGTCAACAGCCTACCACTCATAAGTGTTTGATCGCGTGAAGTGCTGACGAGTGAACAGGGAAGTCACTCTTGATTTGCATTCGCGTGAAAAACATTGCGCAACAATTTAGATAAATAGGGAAATTTGAAATTTTCAAGGTATATTTATTTTGTTCACGAAACCATGATGAGACGTCACCAGGGATGACAATAAAAGGCATAGAGTAACTTCCTAGATTCTGTCAGCTTACAAAACTCACTAATTCACAGTAACCCCGAGAGTTACGCGAGATATTCATTTATGTATCAAAAACAAGTATCTTAATCTTTTTTGCCAAGTTGTTGACCATTCCACCTGGTTCCCCTGATCACTCTTTGATTTCTAAAATGATAAACGAGGCCATTCAGGAACGAACATACCCCTACTTCTGCAATTAACATCGAAAGTAGAAAAATTCAGTTAGCATATACGCATGACTGAGACTATGTAGTTTCTAACGCAAATTTTTCTCCCGCAATGAACTAACATGAAATTATTGATATGTTGGTCAAAGAGCTAAGGTAGCAGTGCAACAAATAGCTCAGTTTAAATTTTTGTCATGATTACTGAGCAAATTGATTGAAAACTTTACTGTGCTTGTGATACATCATATAATTATTATAACATCACAGGCAAGAACATCAAAGTAACATGCAAATATGACTGATAAAACATTACTACAGTATTGTACTTTTTTCTGTTTAAGAATTGGTTTTCCGTGATTACAGCTGAATTAATCTAACTCAACTACAGATCAAATACTTTTATGCAATAGCAAAGGATGATTTCAAATTTGGCAAGATCTGTTTAGTTGTAAATCCCAGAACTATAGCTGATAATGGATTGATTGTTTGGTAATATAGGACTAGCTGTGCTTTGATGTATGTTTCATTCTGTTTTGTTTAATCTATTTAATGTATTACAGTATTGGTTTAATATTGGTTAATATTGGTTAATATTAATATTGGTTTAACAACACAGATTACCTGCACTTTGAAATCTGTGAATGTATAGGCTTCTGAACAATTTTTTGAAAACCCAAATTTCAGTGTGTTCTATAATCTTAAAGCAAGCCAAAGATCCAATATCATAGATTATCACTTAATTGTGTTATTATCTGTTTTTATTGTAAAATGATAGGTTTTCAACTGTTTCATTTCACTTACTATTGTTGCAGGATAGGCCAAAATATGTGAAACAGGTTTTATAACTTGGGAGAAAGTTGAGTGTAGAAAACAAAGTCATTTCAAGGGAGTGTCAGACCCTTGAAAAGGTTTTTTGGAAAATTTCAGATATTATATTATAATTAAGGCACTTCAAATTGCCTTCAACCTCATTTCAAGAATCTATCCTTAAAAATTTGTAACTTTAACAATTAGTAAAAATACTTGTAGTGATGGCAGAAAATTAAGCAGCACAGTGAAAAAATTAATATTAAGTCTGTGATTTGCTTTTATTCAAATGTTCTTTCAAATGGTAATTTTTTGATAGTTAGCAGTATCTAATTCTTCAGGCAACTGTTTATTATATTTTGATGTAACACTGTATACAGTATACTGATAGGCAAAGATTTTCTCACCTTAAATGCTCAAAATTTTTTCCAATAAATTTCATTGACTGGTATTTGTACAATCAATGAAGAAACTGATCAGAAATCAAATAATTATGTTTAAAAAAAACCATGTTGACCCATGAAAGTGTGTGATCCCAGCATGCATTGTACCCAAACGAGGAGGAAGACAAGACTCATACGGGCACTCTACTAAATTATTCTGGAACACTGTGCAATAAAATCGCTGACATAAAAATTTTTTATATTATTCATGCAATTTAAATTGTCAAATTTATTCACACCTACTGTTTTGAGCTTGTTGATCTTTCCCACATAGGTCTCTTAGGGTGACCTGACTCTGGTGAACACAATGATCTCTCTTCACAGTGCTCCATGGTGCGAATATTCAGACAGATGTGATAAATTAGAG